CTAGCTGGTCTGCTCCCCTGAAGACATCATATCCTGACCTGTCCTGGAGGAACCACTGTTCTCAGAGCAGAGAAGAATCCCCTGCACTCAGAGCAGTTGAGGAAGCTGGATTTTCAGGATCTCTAACACAACAGGATCATAGGATTTTAGGATCCGAGAGGTAGCCTGAGTCCCAGGAGTTCTTCCACCCAGGAGCTTAGGATCAAAAGATCACAGAGACATCTGGAATCTGAGGGGCTCTGACACAAGCAAGATAACTGGAAAGACAGACTCCAGTCAGACATAGTGAGTGAAGGTAACACTAGAGTTAACCAGATGGCAAAAGGCAAGCACAAAAACATAAGGAACAGAAACCAAGGTTACCTGGCATCATCAGAACCCAGTTCTCTCACCATAGTAAGTCCTGGACACCCCATCACACTGGAAAAGAAGGATTCAGATTTAAAATCACTTCTCATGATGATGATAGAGGACTTTAAGAAGGACATAAATAGCTCCCTTAAAGAAGTACAGGAGAACACAGGTAAACAGGTAGAAGCCCTTAAAGAGGAAACACAAAAATCCCTTAAAGAATTACAAGAAAACACAACCAAACAGGTGTAAGAATTAAACAAAACCACCCAGGATCTTAAAATGGAAGTAGAAACAATAAAGAAATACCAAGAACACATCAAAACAATCCTTCATCATGATCAAGTAGGCTTCATGCCAGGGATGCAGGAATGGTTCAATATAAGGAAGTTCATCAACATAATCCACTATATAAACAAACTCAAAGAAAAAAAAACCCACATGTTTATCTCACTAGATGCTCAGTAAGCATTTGACAAAATTCAACATCCCTTCATGGTATAAGTCCCGGAAAGATCAGAAATTCAAGTCCCATACCTAAACATAGTAAAAGCAATAAACAGCAAGCCAGTAGCCAACATCAAAATAAATGGAGAGAAACTTGAAGCAATCCCACTAAAATCAGGGACTAGACAAGGCTGCCCACTCTCACCCACCCTACCTCTTCAATACAGTACTGGAAGTCCTAGCCAGACCAATTAGACAACAAAAGGAAGTCAAAGGGATACAAATAGGAAAGGAAGAAGTCAAAATATCACAATTTGTAGGTGATATGATAGTATACTTAAGTGACCCGAAAACTTCCACCAGAGAACTCCTAAACCTGATAAACAACTTCAGCTGGATATAAAATTAATTCAAATAAATCAGTAGCCTTCCTCTACTCAAAGGATAAACAAGCAGAGAAAGAAATTATGGAAATGACACCCTTCACAACAGTCACCAATAATATAAAATACCTTGGTGTGTATCTAACCAAGCAACTGAAAGATCTGTATGACAAGAACTTCAAGTCTCTGAAGCAGGAAACCAAAGAAGATCTCAGAAGATGGAAAGATCTCCCATGCTCATGAATTGGCAGGATTAATATAGTAAAAATGGCTATCTTGGCGAAACCAATCTAAAGATTCAATACAATCCCCATCAAAATTCCAACTCAATTCTTCATAGAGATAGCAAGAGCAATTTGATTATTCATTTGGAATAACAAAAATCCCAGGATAGGGAAAACTATTCTCGACAACAAAAGAACTGTTGGCAGAAATCACCATCCCTGACCTCAAGCTGTACTACAGAGCAATAGTGATAAAAAAAAACCTTGCTTGGTATTGTTACAGAGACAGGCAGGTAGATGAATGGAATAGAATTGATGACTCAGAAATGAAACCACACACCTATGGCCACTTGATCTTTGACAAAGGAGCTAAAACTGTACAGTGGAAAAGGACAGCATTTTCCTCAAATGGTGCTGGTTCTACTGGAGGTCAGCATGTAGAAAAATGCAAATCGATCCATTCTTATCTGTTTGTACAAAGCTCAAGTTCAAGTGGATAAAGGACCTTAAGATAAAACCAGATACACTGAAACTAACAGAAGAGAAGGTGGGGAAGAACCTTGAATACTTGGGCACAGGGGAAAAGTTCCTGAACACAACACAAATGGCTTATGTTCTAAGATCAAGAATTGACACATGGGACCTCATAAAATTGGAAAGCTTGTGTAAAGCAAAGGACACTGTTGATAGGACAAAACAGCAACCAACAGATTGGGAAAAGATCTTTACCAATCCTACATTTGATAGAGGGCTAATACCCAATATATACAAAAAACTCAAGACTATTAGACTCCAGACAATCAAATAGCTCTATTAAAAATGGGATACAGAGCTAAACAATTCTCAACTGAGAAAACTCAAATGGCCAAGTAGCACCTAAAGAAATGTTCAACATCCTTAGTCATCAGGGAAATGCAAATCAAAACAACCCTGAGATTCTACCTCACATCAGTCAGAATGGCTAAGATCAAAAATTCAGGTGATAGTAGATGCTGGCAAGGATGTGGAGAAAGAGGAACACTCCTCCATTGTTGGTGGGATTGTAAGCTGCAACCACTCTAAGAATCAGTATGGAGGTTCCTCAGAAAATTGGACCTGAGGACTCAGCTATACCACTCCTGGGCATATACCCAGAAGATGCTCTAACATATAACAAGGACACATGCTCAACTATGTTCATAGCAACCTTATTTATAATAGCCAGGAGCTGGAAAGAACCCAGATGTCCTTCAACAGAGTTATGGATAGAGAAAATGTGGTACATGTATTACTCAGCTATTAAAAACAATGAATTCATGAATTTCTTAGGCAAATGGATGGAACTAGAAAATATCATCCTGAGTGAGGTAACCCAATCACAAAAGAGCACACATGGTATGTGCTAACTGATAAGTGGATATTAGCCCAAAAGCTCTAAATACCCATGATACAATTCACAGACCACATGAAGCTCATGAAGAAGGAAGACCAAGGTGTGAGTGCTTTAGGCCTTCTTAGGAGGAGTAACAAAATACTCATGGGAGCAAATGTGGAGACAAAGTGTGAAGGAGGGGCTGTCTGGAGACCATTCCACCTGGGTATCCATCCTATGTGCAGTCACCAAATGCAGACTCTGTTGTGGATGCCAGGAAGTGCATGCTGACAGGAGCCTGATATAGCTGTCTGCTGAGAGGCTTTGCCAGAATCTGACATATACAGAGGCAGATGCTCACAGCTAACCACTGAACTGATTACGGGGTTTCCAGTGCAGAAGTTAGAGAGAAAACTGAAGGAGTTGAAGAGGTTTTCAGCCCCATGGGGAGAGCAACAATACTAACCAACCAGAGCTCCCAGGGTCTAAACCACCAGCCTGGGAGCACATAGGGAGGGACCTATAGCTCCAACTGAATATATAAGGGAGGATGGCCTTGTCGGGCATAGGTGGGAGAGGAAGGCCTTGGTCAAGTGAAGGCTGGATGCCCCAGAGTGGGGGAATTCAAGGATGGGAAGGTGAGAGTGGGTGGAGAGGTGGAAGTGGGTGGGTGGGGGCACATCCCCATAGAAGCAGGAGGAGGGGGGATGGGATAGGGGATTTCTGGGTTGGGATAAATGGGGAAAGGGGATAATATCTGAATTGTAAATAAAACATCCAATAAAATTAATCTAAAAATAAGTTGTTTTTGTAATTTTCATTGTGTATATTCATTATGCATGGTACTGTGTTGTAAAAGGATATATTTATATAAGCATGTCTTGTATCTTTAGTACACCCCCTGGCTCCTACACTCCTCTTCATGCCTCTGTTCTGTCAGTCTCTTCCGTTTCCTTAGATAGTTTCAGTATGAATTTTTGTTAAATATACATAGATATTTTTATGTGACTATATGCAGCTAGAAGCTATATATTACAGAAAACACATATTTGTCCTTCTGAGACCTATTTAACTTGCTTCATATGATTATCTGTGGTCGTATCAACTTCCAGTAGACACCTGGACTCTGCTCTCAATTGTTCTCTACATTATTTTTGAGAGAGTGTCTTCAGAGAAACCAGAGCTTATTTGTTGCCTAGGCTGGCTGACTAGTAAGCCCCATGAATCCTGCTTTCTATCTTACTCCACCTTCAGGTCTTGGTTACAGGTGTATCACAGTCTGTGCTTAGTTACATGGATGCAAGGATCTGAATTTAGGTCCTGATGATTGCAAAGCATTTTGTCCACTGAACCCTAACCCCTAAAAGTTCTCAGTCCTTTTAAAAGATGCTAACCACTTGCCTTGCCCCTTTGACAGTTGGAATATAGTTTATATATACTCAAAAGTACTAAGAGTTGGTCAAACGTGGGAACAAGAGCCTTTGTTCTGCTAAGGGAAAAATCAAAAGGATTTCAAATACAGATGCTAATAGTACAGATATATAAGTGTGAGCTTATGGTTACAGATAAATCACTAAAGTACTTTTGATATCTAACAGATTACCCATCATTCATTAAAGTCCTTCTTTCAAGTTACTGCTCTACATTGTGCTTGAGCATTTTGCTACTATGTAAGCCAGTGCCAACTGTTCAATTTTGAAAGGCCTCATTTCAGTTTTAACCTATGTGAATGGAAACAATTCCATCTTCAGCCCATCCATTTGTGATTCAGCTTCTTGGTTTCCCCCATCTTGTGGGTATTATATATTGGGACCCTAGGTGTCCATGCAGGTGTCTTGATTCACAGTGCAGTGAATCCTATAACTTTACATTGTAGGAAATGAAGCTGTCTAGTCCTGTCCTTCAGACCCATCACACCCCTGGATAACTTGTTTTCTAACCATGCACCAAGATTTAAGAATGTGTTTAGGGTCTATTTGTCCCCTGGAGACAATTATTTGGAAAAGTGACTTTCTTCTGAGCAGTCTGTTGAGCCCTCTACCATGGTAGAGAGTCAGTGATGTCCTCTGCACACAGTCTTAAGGAAGATAAACATGATTTCCACAATTGCCCTGAGTGTCTTTCCTGACTTTTAGTTTTCTGATGCCAGAACCAATTATTATCAAGTAGGGTGCTGCTTGTTCCCAATTCTACATGCTGTTCAGCTCTGCTTTGTGTGGCCGGACAGCGCTGTTTGTCAGGCCTTTAGCTTATGGTGCATTTGCGCCTGGCTTCCTTCTCCCGGAGATGCTTATTCTCTTCTTCAAGTCTTTCACACTCCTGCTGGATTTTCTTCTCTTCCTAAAAAGTGACAGAAAGAGAAAAATAAACAGTTGCAGTGAGTTGATCCCTGTGTCCTATACAGTTCCCATACTAGTTAATTTTGATTATTTAATTTCTTAACATTTCTTTGGACCTTAATTTTTATTATAAATTTGACCTGCTTTTATTTATGACTAAATTTTAGTGTTTAGGGGTCGCTTTAGCTAAGAAACAGTTCCACTGGTGAAAGAAAGCCACTGTCTAACTCAGTTCCAAGCATCTAGGTCTGTGGCTCACAAACACCTATAACTCTAGCACCAGGGCATCTGACTTCTTCATTGGGTCTCTAGAAATACTGCATGCATACAAGCAAATACACAGAGGCACAGACACAGACACAGACACAGACACAGACACAGACACAGTCAGAGACACAGTTACAGTCACAGACACAGGGGACAGACACACACACACACACACACTTAATTTTTTTTTTTTAATGAAGAGAATATAGAAGGTGCTACAATTATAATACCCGAATTTTATGCTCAAGGGCCCTCTGGTACTCTTCCTTAAGCTGTGCCCGTTCCTCCTCCTTATTCTGAGTCAGCTGTCTCATGTGCTCCTGGTGTCTCTGCTCCTTCTGTTCCATCAGCTGTTCATTCTTCCTTTGAGTTTCCTCCAGCAGTTTCCAGGCTCTCTCTGTAGCTTCAGCTTTCACATGCTCCACTGTGAAGGAAAGCAAGAAAGAAGGTATAAATGCTGTTCTCTTCTTCCTCTAAGACTTCATTGTTAGCTGGGAAGTGGTGGCATATGCCTTTAATCCCAGCACTTGGGAGGCAGAGGCAGTCAGATTTCTGAGTTTGAGGCCAGCCTGGTCTACAGAGTGAGTTCCAGGACAGCCAGGGCTACACAGAGAAACTCTGTCTCGAAAAAAACAAAAAGCAAAACAAAACAAGTGGACAAAAAAAGACTTCATTGTTACTGCTGACTTCATAGTAATACCCAGGTCTGATGCCAGCCAGTAAGATGCAGCTTTATTCTATTATCTCTAGTTTAGGGTCCCAGGATTACAGGTTATTTAAACTTTTCATGGCTTTCGAAGGCACATAGTCCCTTAACTTGTGTCTCACCTTCAATCTCCTTTTCCTTTTCTGTCATACTTTGGTCTGTCTGTAGAATTGCATCTATTATATCCTCTCTTGACTGCAAATAGTTTTTGAGAGCTTCTTCAGCCTTTGAGCACAGGGAACATAAAGTTAACAGAAAGAATGGTACAAACTTTTGTACCTTCCTCCCTGCTGACCTTTCATCTAATGATATCAATCCCAGAAGCAAGCACACAGTCTAGGCTGGACCTCAGGAAGGAATGTCTGTTATTGGAGGCCTCTGAAAGAAAACAGACTGTCATTTTAGACTGAGGGTTCTAACTTTGGAGTTACTAGTACTGTGGTCATAGATGTGTAAGTTTGCTGAAGACATAGTCCCTCATGGAGAACAAAGAGATCAGAGTGAATGAGAGAGGAAGGAAGAGTGGGGCTGGAAAAGATAGTAGACAGAGAGACATGGGATGATATGATTTAAAAATGCTGTGAAGTCCAAACTGATGAATTACAAGTTTTGTTTAAGGGGTTGTCATTGAGTTCTTTGCAACATAAAGAGTGTAGCTGAAACAGAGGGTGATGGTCACACTGGTGGTTAATGTGATCAGTCTCAACTTAATTGTTAACTGTCTCTGATGGGTGAGCAGGACATATCCAGTATGATGACCTTCACATATGTCATACACAAAGAGCACATTCCTAGATTACCCCATTGATGCATGGGGATGCTTCAGTCTGATGGAAAGCAACCTCCCAGGACATATATAACCTTGGTTACCTGCACCCCCTTCCCAGATTCTTCATAGTACTTTTTCTTCAACTGCTGTATCTTTTGGTTAAAAAGACAGTAACCACGGGATTTGCAATAAACACCCTGCTTCACATCTTCTTCTAGTGGACCGAAAATATCCTGAAGTAGAGCTGAGCATCGGTCTGAGGATGCTTCTTCATTCTTCTTACAAATTTCCCCTTGCTTTCTCTCTAATTTCCTCTTTAGTTAAAAAAAAAATGTAAAGAAAAAAATAAGAAAAGAAAGCCAGAGTTTAGAAATTTTCAGAACATTCCTTAAAAGAAAAACAAACACAAAACACAAAACGAAACCAAATGCAAAACAAAGAAAGGCGTATGAGCACTGACTCTAACTAGATCTCTGTCTCTGATGCCAGCTTTTACTGATGTGATGCTTGCTCCTTGAGAGTGAAGTTCAGAGCAGAGATTTACACCTTTAGAGGTAAACTATATTTTTAGACTGGGTTAAAGACGACACAATGAGTAAACATGGCTCAATGTTAATTTGTTATTGGCTTGAATATTGAATCAGTCTGTTGAGACTGGGCATACAATGTGATCAGACACACTAATTACTTCACTGTCATTAATTCATTGAAGGGTGGTATTACTATCTCATTCATGACAGCAGAAATATTTCAAAGCTTTGAGTCTAGTGTAATTCACTTTTTTGTATTTGTTGTGATTATTAATAGGTATTTGTTACTAGTTCAAAATCTGTTTGCAGTTGCCTAATCACAAGCAGGGGTTTCATTTGCTTTTCTAAATTTACATTCAGGAAACTTGTGAAAAAAATGACCTTCAACTCTGTTAGGAACACTTGATTAACATCTTTGAAGGAATTTTCCGTGAAGATCTTGATGGCTTCTTTCTCACAGGTCTTGTGCAGGTCCAGCAGCTCCTGGAGCATCTCTGTGGGGAGCTTCACACTCTGGCCCATCTGCTGGTCATAGTGGGCGATGGCCTTTTTCACTGCAGCTGAATTCTCTGTCTGGGCTAAAGCCAGGACAGCACTCTCCATGCAGGGCATAGACCCACTGCTGATGGCTTCCACATAGGTTGTCACCAAACACTTTAGTCCTACAACCAGGAAACACATAACAATGTTTGCTGCAGATGGATGAAGACAAGTGTATTCTGTGAAATTCTAGGTATGTCAGTCATTGGTATCTTAAAGCATCAGTGTCCTTAGCATTGTTTGGAAGAATGACAAATGGAAGCATTCCAGTCTCTCTCTCTCTCTCTCTCTCTCTCTCTCTCTCTCTCTCTCTCTCT